TGGATGACGGTGAGGGCGTCTCGAATTCCGTGTTGGTTCCTCGTGGTGATCGCTCAGAGTGGCCATCACGCGTTTTCCAAGATGTGGTTGATTCGACTCGTGCGAAACGCGAGTTAGCTTCTCTGGTCCGCGCCTTTGGTTGCGAGCGACTCGCAGCTAGGATCTTCAGGACGTCGACGGCGCTTCATCGCGCGGTGAAGGAACTGCGTGAGTTCCAGGGGCAACTCAACGAGTCGGCCCTGAAGAACGTCAAAAGGGTTACCGAGTTAATGATTGAGCTCGACAATGTGCGTTCCGGATTCACAATCTTGAGCAACTTCTGGGATGACCAGTTTCAGTTGGCTCGAAAGCAGCTGGACCACAAGGCCTCGGAGCATGACCGGGATTTCAAGCGCGCAGCTCCGGATCACGAGTGCGAAGCTCGAGCTCTGCAGGCCCAAGTGGATAGTCTTTCGCAAGAAAATGACGACCCCCGCGACTGCATCCGGAGTCTCGAAAACAGGCTCTCGGTGGGGGCCCTAAATGTGGCCCGGACGATGAACTTCTTGAACCGTCATGGCACTCGGGTCGACGGCAACTGACCTCGCCTGAAGGCGCTGTTGGAACACGCCAAGGACTCCAAGCTCCTCCGAGTGGTTGGAAAACTCAGATCCTGGTCAACGCAGTTGATGACTTTGGAGCACAATTTGGACCTTACACCTTTGAAGACGAGGGCAGTCCAGACGACGGCGACTCCAAGGAGGATGACAGGTCTGGAAACCGTGACGGCAGCAAGAACAAGCCTCTGGATCTCTCGCACGATTCGTCAAGCCCGCAGCAGACGCCCAAGAAACCTAAGGCGTCGGGCAAGTCTCGGTCTCGGGGTACGGTTCAGCTTCGCCCCTCTGCGTACGCGCCGAATGATCATGACGCTCTGGATGCCACCAAGCGGCCACTCCGGACCGTCACTCAGGTACGCGAGTCTCTGGAAGGTCTCCCGGTAGTCTGGTACAAGCAACGTTCGGACCTGCAACAGGTCATGCTTTCCGGACTTGACTATCAGGACGCTCTAGATTTGGTCAGCGGGGACAACGAGGTGCACACCAGGATCACATCGCGGGCTTTAACTGAAATGTTGGTCCGGATGATGTACTGGGGCAAGCTCGACCAGACTCCGTGGACCAAGTACGTACCAACGTGGTACTTCAAAAGCGCGGAGGCGCTCATCGAGTCGACGGACGAAATTCC